GATGATTCTTTTTTTGTTGGAAAGAGGGGTACCTCAGTATAGTTCCCATTACAAATATTCCACCTCTTAAGGGCGGCAAACTGGGGGATGAATCTGGTTCCGCGCACTCTCCGGTAACCAATTTCAATAAAACTCGGCAAATAGATGTAATTCCACAAACTTTTAGGGTCGATTTTTTTAAATCACCAAAAACAAATCATCTGTTCGATGATTCACAAATCATCATCGAGCGTTCAGTTTGGGTATACGTAGGAGTTAAAGAAAGAAAATATGATCAGCGCAGTTGTGCAACCAAACAGGTTGTTGCCTGTTCGAAAGTTACCCGCTCCCGCACCTCGTCTCGAGCCCCCGTCCGCGTAGACACGACACTTCACAAAATATCTATACATTTCATATATTAACCAATTTGTATAAAAATATTAGAGTTTTAAGTTTATTTTATTGATATACTGTTACTTACATATTAAAAGTAATTCACACGTGTATGTAGTTGCATGTACACTACCTATTATGTCGGTTGGAGCTTAAAATATTAATTTTGAATTGTTATTATTATTTTTCCTCTGTTGTTTTGTTTATATGCGTGTCTGTGCTGGTGTAATAAACTGATCTTTCTTTCTTTCTTTTATCATGGCAAGTTACAGCGTCGAGCAACAAGTGCAAATGTAAAAAAAACATTATCAAAATGGACGTTCTATTGAGGCCATTGCCTCGAGTTCGATTCTTGTTAGATCGAAGGAACTTTTGTGTTCGATCTTTTATAATTAAATAAATAAATAATTTATAATTAAATGTGAAGAACAACATCGTGATGAAAATCGGCATGTCCAAGGAGTTCATAACTCCAAGGAAAGCAGTATCATACAGCAAGAGTTCTTTCAATGAAAAATCTTACCTGAGTTCTGTTGTAACGCGGATGTAAGGTTTGTCCGGAGAGCGGAGACAACGGCGCCGGTTGGCGACGCGGTCGTTTCCGCCGCCTCCATTGCCGCTCGAAGGCGCCCGCGTTCGCATACCTGCAAAGGGGAGGTAGCAATGTGTGTTTTGTCATTTTCTGCCACGAAGACACTTGCACTAACTGGGCAAGAGTCTCACGGCTAAATATCCTGTTTACAATATTTAAATATTGCCACCGTACCTATTTCTGCCGCCAAGCAGTAATATGAGCGTTCCGGTTTCAAAGAGTAAAGGTGCTAGTGAAATTACATGGGACTGTCAACTTATGTCGCAGAGTGACGGGCGCAGTGGCAGTGCCTTTCTAATCTTTGCGTTTTAAAGCTCTGAGTGGCACTGCGACTGTTATGGACAGGTGTGTTGCTTACTAACAGATCCACGTCTTGTTCGTCTCGTCAGTTGATATTATAAAAAAAATTTTCGGAAAAAATCTATCTACCTTATATAAAGTACTTATACCCTTCGTGTCCCAAAGCCGTGAGACATATTTAGAAAATTTTTGTTATTTTTTTTAACTGTTACCATACCGGACTGCCACGCAGAGGGCCTAGGTTCGACTCCCGGGCCGGGAGAAATATTTGTATGGCCTACATTTATTTCTCTCGTGATTTTGGGTGTAATTTGTGGTTGTCTATGTGTGTGTCCATGGCACCCAAGACACCGGGTTTCCCTAGTGCGGGGCTATGTTGAGTGTGTGCGTTATTATTATTATTATTATAATAAAGAGAGATCTCTTGTTATGCTACTGACACCATCACTTACTAATGTAGCAACAACGCCCTTCAATGTAGCAAGCAGATCTTTAGCCAATATGGTGAAGTCCTCCCTGAGTTGCTGGTCAGGTGTTAAGCTGGTCAGAGAAGCAGGTCCAGCCGCTGCGCCTAACGACTCTGCACCGGGTAGTGATTGTGGCCTCGCAGCGGCACATGCTGAAATGATGCAGAGTTTGTTTAGCGAATATTTTGGGTGGAATTCGTGTATGTGAAAAGTGAGTTGCAAGTTTGTTTGTAAAATACTTTGAAATACAGGGTGTTAGGTAAAATACTTTGCGCCTTTGAAAGAGTTGTTTGGTATCGCGAAAAGAATTTGATTTTGATTGAAAACTTTTGGAATATAATATTTAAAAAATACTTTTCCATAGAAAAGTGTCAGTAAGGGAAACAATTTCGTATGAGACAATGTTATACTTTTTATTAAAATTTTTAAAGATTTTTTAAAATTTATTGTTAATTTCTTTGTGTTCTCATCGATTACAGGACGTTGGCATAATATTAGTGAGGGCAATGTGCTTCATAGCGTCGTAAGAATGAATACCTCGTATGTGATTTCTATGTAACTTTTCAGGACGAATATATAGATGTGGTTTAAAACGTAGTAAACACAATACGTTTGTAGCATTTTCATTAGTTAAATCGTAACTCTTTCGGATGCTATATTACGTTAATAATATATTTATACTCCATCCAACTATTTATTTAACTTTTGACATATGCATGCCTCCGAAGTTCCGTAATTATTGACATACAACCATCATTGACTTACAAATAAATGGACGACGGGTCTAATACAAAAACCACGAAAAAAATGTCCCAAGTCAACCTATTCGAAATTTAAATTGTTATGTCATCGCAGTATCGCGCTGTCAGTAGAACAAATGAAGACTAAAGCGGAGTGTGGCGCTCTGTATACGATTTTAGCGCCTTACAAGTGCGGACACTTTTTAGCGCGGACCCGACGTCCATATAATTGTAAGTCAATGACAACCATAGACAAAAAATACAACTCTCTGTTGACTCTTTTAGTTTTTAATTTTAGTAAAGCGACGTGCTCTTTCGCTCCGACATTTATCGAGCCAACAGATTACGTAACGAAGATAAACTTAATAAAATTGTAAATAAAATAAATTACAAATAATTATAATAAATTCTTATTGTTTATTATAATGAATCTTCGGATTCTTCTCCATAAGAACGGGAATCATAGCTTGAATCCTCATTGATATTAATTATTAATTCTTGAGTACAAAAATTGTCAAACGTAACACCACGATCCCAATCAGACAATATCTTCTTTTTTGAACACGCTCACGTGCACAATTAAATATTCTTCATAAATAAAAATCGATTAATATAAAAAATCGAATCGGAAACGCATCAGGACATCACTAATTGATTAGAATTCGAGCTGTCAAAAGTTAAATAAATGGTTGTACGGAGTATAAGCAAGATTTGTAAATTTTACTTCAATAAAAATCAATATAATATAAACATGTAAAAATGCGAATGAAGTGTTCACAGGCGGGCAGAATGTAGAGGATATTGAATTTAGCACATATTTATCATCCGATCGCGGCGCAATTCTCTCTGCGTCTCAAAGCATTGAAATTTATACTTTATTTCCATTGAAATAACATAAAATATAACTCGGTAAATTTAATATCGCGACTAAAGCCCTCTGTAGCTCAATCATACCTTCGTATTCCAGAACTCTACTCAATGCTCAAGTCAGGACTTAAGCAGATTTGAGTATGATTTCAAGCACTGGAAATACGACCCTAATGGCAAGGACTTGAGTATGATTTTGAGTGCTTTAAATCATACTCAAGTCCTTACTTGAGCATTGAGTAGTGTTCTGGAATACGACCCTTAGACTCATTTGAAATGTTTATAATAAAGTAACTTTGATTTATGTTATTTTTTATTTTTGAAGGTTTGTAGTATTTTACCGAACACACTATACGAAACATTTTGCGGTGAGTTGCTAAAATTTTGAAAAAAAAACATATTAATATCATCTAACTCTGATGTAGTAACAAACTAAATTCAATCGATATTATTAACTAAATCATACTAACGAAGGGTGTTTCAAAATTGTGGCACAAAATAGATTTTATACAAAGTCTGTAAACTAAAAACTCAAATTACATTAAAGAATTGTAGAAAGTTGCGTAATAAAACTTAACAAATGCTGATAAGCTCTCTCAATGCTTTGTTTATAAGTGTACTATGAAAGTTTGAGTGTAAATGCAGGATGATGAAGTAATTTTTAGCAGAATTTCAAAGAATGATGCTACATAGCAATATTAGCTATATCTTCTTTTTTAAACAGCGTAGTTACTTTGCCTGTATGTACCACATTCTGATTAAGTGTCATTTGTTATAACCCTACATATATATATATATATATATATACAGGCTGTATATTTGAAAGTGAGACATATTCATACATGTCATAGTAAATCATGTTACAACTTAACATAGACTAAAATAAAATTAGGATATGGGATAGAACAAAAAATAAATCAACAAATGTGTTTTGAAGTGTAGATAGGAATAAACCGATTCCCTTTACGCTTAATTTCGAGTGTAATGGGAGTGCTACCAAGCAAGCGCCGAGTGAGACAGCAACAATAACAATGATTTCACATTTACGTTTTAGGTTATGTTAATTGTTTTTTACTTGAACTATCATCGAAATGTTTTAGTAAGTAGTTATCATTTAATAAGAATTGAGGTTTTTGGCGTAGTTAAAAATGTGAAATCAAATTAATTACAATGATTGATTTTTTAGTTATTTACAGTTTATTTACACTTACGTGGTACGGAGCAAGTGTTCAAAATGTCCACCGTTTTCCACAATGCATAGTCTAGCACGGCATAGTAAATTTTGTTTTAAATTGTACAACACAAACACATTTTGTCTCACAGTATAAAATGCTGAGATAATCCTCTCACGCAACGCTTCGACACTGTTCACCTCTTTCGCGTAAACTCCGATTTGGGAACATTTCAATAGCTTGCCTCACACTATCACCACTTATTGCGTAAAGTCGCACCATCTCAGTCAATTCCACGTTAGAATAAATACCCATTTTGCGGCGATCGGGCGAGCGGAAGGACAAATAATTTACGTGTCTTCGTTAGATCAAGGTCGCGCGTGGACTGAAAAATTTCGCGTATGCGCCCGCGTCCCGTCCTCACCCCCGACCTGTGCTTTGCTTTTCGCCGCTGCGTCGGAGCAATAATAGTGATGTGCATAGATTTCGATAACTAATGTTGCGCTCAAGTAGTAGTCGATAAAAAAATAAAATAAAATATTTTTTGTAAAGTTTAAGTTCATTAGTTTATTATTTCTTTGGGTTGAGAATCAGGAATATAACGCACTCTATAAGTATGTCCCACTTTCAAATATACAGCCTGTATATATAGGGTTATGTACAGGGTTATTTTTAAAATATTAACAACTTCACAGGACTATATTACTAACATTATAAACAAGAACTTTTGTACCATGACTTTTTAAAGAACACAACAAAGAAGGATGGCGAAAGCTGACCCAAAATCAACGAAGTGCCGTTCATGGACTTTGCTAGTACAATTTTACGTTTTAGTTTATACCTAGTTATGAATATATTTTTAGAAGTCGGGAATAAAGTAATTGCAAAACAATGATTTTAGAATAAATGCAAGAACACAACGCAATTGATACAGTTCGACCATAGATTAGATAACATTATTGTACGGATATTTCATTTTAAGCATGATTGAATGACTGAAAACTTGTTGTTACCTGCTACTACGAACAAACATAAATACAGGACAATGTTATAAACATAACCCATATCAACTTTATAACCTCAACTTCTACAGGCTGTTTTTTCATGCTTTGATAATGAATCACAAGTATTGATAGGTCTCTTTAATGCACGTCCTCAGAAACACTGGGTCACAAAACACAAGGGATGTCGCCATCCTTCGTTACCATTTGTTTTATTTAAATGAAATTTAAAAAACACACAACATTTAATAATTAAGAAAAACATAATTTTAAATGGGCTGTTAGATAAAAAGCACTGGCTTTTATTAAAAAAAAAAAAGTATATTTACCAAAAATAAACTTTTAAGTTTTTTACTATCTGATACTTTTTAGATCTCTATTTGGTAGAATAAGTTCGAACGTCCTGCACAGAGTTATTACCGTTTAGAGCGATCTATTTAAATATTTATATTTTTGTATGAAAGTAAATTCCGTTGAATAATTATAAGTCATGGAACAAAAGTTGTAGTTTATGGTGTTAATAATAGTAATGGAATATTTTTTCCAAATTTAAATGGGACCAAAACTGAGGCACCCTCTTTCCAATAAAAAGTACCATCAAAATCGGTTCACAAACGCCCCGGAGGAATTGCGTATCATACATACAGTCTAATTGAGAGCCTCATTTTTTTAAAGTTAGTTAATAATTTGTATATATTACTCTCTGTCTCTTCTCGGAATCTAGTAGAATTTGTGCAACTTGAGTGGATGCAAAGAAAGCAACGCTCGCTGCAATATGATATGGATAGATAAATAACATAAACTACTCAAGATTACGCTCATAAACTCTGCTAAAATCTTGCACTAACATCCTGTTTATGTATTTATACTGTAGTGTTGTGTAAATTAAAAATAATAATGCGAGGAGTCATGCATAAAAAGGGCATGTCATGGTTTTGTACACAAGTATGTGTACATTTTAAATGATAATACGTGAAAAGTATATTTACAACTTAAGTATGTAACTATCAATTACCACAACTACATTTTGACGACTTCGGTGGTCCAGTAGTTAGCATTGTAAGCGCTGGATGAGGAGATCCCGGGTTCGAGTCCGGGCAGGACCAATTTGGGAAACGAAGTTTTCTGAATTGCTCTGCTCCAGGTGTTATGAGTAGTGTTTCAGATTAAACTTCGTTGTTCTGGTATTCATGGTAAAAGGCATTCTCTTGAGACCAGGTAATTAAATAGACTGTTGTATTTCTTCTGTTTATTTAATTTAAAATAAATAAAGATGAATATTCAATACGATAATGATATTTTATTTCACAACGTATGAACAGATTACTGCACGCGATTACGCCCTATGGTCCCACGAACTACGTCTGGCGGTACCATGGACTACACCGCCGTGGTGACAGAAATGTAGATTGCCATTACACTGGCTCCTGCATTTACTTTGCCTACTTTAGAACTTGTACAATTAAATGTTATCACTGCTGGTAACATTCTAACATCACATTGTAACTTTCTATTGCATAAGTATCTAAAAATGAAAATGGAATGAATTAATGAAATCGTAACTAATGAAAGCGAACCTTCTACCAATTATTTATCCAGTAAATAATGAATGATTAACTATAAATACGACGTCAAATAATAACTCACAATTGGCCTGTTCTTCGCATTCTCTTAAGATTTTGAACACATACAAACATATAGTTCTTGCGAATGGTATTAGCAAACCGCCACTGTCACTTGACATTTTTATTATTTTACGTTTAAAAAGTAAATTGTGATAATATTACTATTCACCTGTAACTTTTATTATTTAGCATTAATGATATAACAATGTAATAATATCATCAAGTCACTTATCATATTATTATTTTTCATTAATAATATAAAATATTTCACTTAGCTACTTAAATTTCAAATATAGAAATATGTATTTTGATTTAGCTGAAATAATCGATTTACTTAATTTTCAAATTTGGGTATCGAGTTTTAGCCGCATCGATTTTGTCCGATGACAGATGCAAAAGGTACAGTGTGCAATAAAACGTAAATACATCCTACTGGAGAGCACAGTGTCTGTTTGTTTAAACTAGGTATATTTCGTTTTATTATTTAAATTAAACTAAAAATATAACTATTTCAGTTAACCACAGTGTACCGAAACAATAGTTACACTCGGTGTTATGAATTATTCATTAACATATTCGCGTTTGTGTAAATCGCAAACAACTCTCCAAGCACAATTATTTCTTTTAACGAAAATTTTAAACGTCGAATAGAAAATAAAATGTAATAATAATATTTACGACAATGATATAATATTATTACGTCAAACAAATTCATATTATTATACCACTTTAAAGAACACGATTCTTTTAAATTCACATAGCACAAGCAAATTTTAAATGTTGAATGAAAATTCGTAAATTTAACACCAGTATCGTATAAAATTGCACAAGACTTTTAAGACGTGATTAGATCATCACTATCATAATCATTATCAGATCGTGATAATGATAAGGCTACGGAAGATCTATCAACAATCAAGGTCGCCCTGTATGAATGGTTTTCTCTGTCAGATGTTTTTATCGGTGTCTGTACTAAAGTCTACACAACGAAAATTAATTAAAAAATAAAGCACTGACTAGCATTAAAATTATTTGAGCGACAATGCTAAAACTTACTGAAGATATGGGGTGCACATTAAAGTCTAACTTAGATTAATAAATTTAAGATGGAATTTTCAATAATCTAAGATAAATAGAAATAGTAATAAATAGCCGTATGTACGAAAAAAATAAGTAAATTTTAGTTTCAATCAAAGGCACGCCTTATAGTGTTAAGATTGATTTTCACAGAGATAATTTTAATGCACACATTATACTTGGGATGGTGTTCACTGTCTATTTTCCGTGGCAATTTTTATTGTTACAATATTATAATATATTATGGAGAAATATTGTTTAATATTTGAGTATTGCATGGGGAAATGTTATTTAATATTACTTCGAATACTTAAATAATGAAAATTGCACGGATATCAGACAAAGAACACAAGCCCGAGTACGACTTCACCATTTGTTTAAAAAATGTTCTTTATTCCGTCATGAGCAATGGTCGGAAAAAAGATGTTCCACATAAAGAGATACCTGTGTAAATATAACGGAAAAAACAAATATACGCAATCCGGAAAAATAGTTTCATTTCCTATGTGTAACAATCGCGAAAACCTAAGAATTCAACATTTCTTAAAACCACCAAATATTAATAATTACTGTTTGAAATTCAGGAATCCCGAAAATGGTTTTACTACCTTGTAGGACAAAACTACGGACCTTGTAAGTCGAATTTGGATTTTAAAGTAATTCTAATGGTGGTATGTAAAAAATGCAGTAGACCTTTTATCAAAACAGAGAATAAAAAATAACGAAAATGGTGACTCTCCATAGCTTTAGATACCGCATATTGACGGAACGGCGACATTTACTAGTAGAAATTAAGAAAGAAAATAATTAAAAATTTTATTTACGAGGGGAATTACTACTGAACGCTCAAACAAGACGAAAAAGTATCTTTTTTGACGGCCTTACCCATGTACGGTTATGATGATAAATATCTTCATAAATAGAGTAAAGAGAGTAGTTTCCTTTATCCGGAAAACCAGAATTCGAAAAATTAATTAATATTTGGTGGTTTTAAAACTCTATGTAGCTCCTTGTAGCTATATCTATGCATGTATATATGTGGAACACCTTTTTCCGAATATTGCTCATGAGCTATATTTTATCCCGGCAAAACTATAACTAATTTAGCGTCGTCATAGAATTTCACCTTGTATGTCTGAGGGTGCTGTTAAGGCAATTTACAAAACTGGGCCCCTGAATGTAATATTGTAAATGATAAATGTACAAAGAAGTGTACAAAGGTTTATTTACATAGAGCAACTCCTAGAATTTCTAACTCATTCTTCTCAAAGGAATCTATCTGCCTTAGGAATGAGAAGTAGGGTCAGCTTTAAGAACAGACATAGTCAATAGACAAATCAACTTTATTTCATAGGTAAGAAAGTTACACTTGAAATAGTCATATTGATTAAACTGTACTGCTCATTCGTAAGGAAGATTTCCCTGAGAAGAATGAACAAGAAACTTTAGGGGTTGCTCTTTGTAAATATATCTTCTAATATCTTCGGTCGAGAATACCTGCAAGAGCTAAACGGGTCATTATGACGGAATTTTTTGTCAACCAAGTACGCAGGAGCTGTACAATAATAAAGTTTTTGTTTCAGTATAGTTTTAAGCCTCGTAAATGGCAAATTTTGAATATCACCTGGAATTTTACTATAGAAATGTATAATACATTGGACCTTAAATTAATTTGTAACCTTGTGAAGAGTACTACGGCTAGTTTCTTTTTATTCCTCGTATTAATGTTATGTCTGTTACTATTGTTCATAAAAAAAAACTATACTCTTAACACAATTTTCATACTCTGAAAGACACTCCGGGGCACAGATTGTAAATTGCCCTGAATATCATACACCTGTATATTCTTTTCTGTTGCTGTCGATAATTGCCTTCATCTCGATTACTTGTGGCGTTACAATTGTCACTCACTTTTATAGGTCTAAGAACGACAGTCTTAAAATCTATGTGGACGGATGTCAGTGGAACAATAATACAAATTTGTTGAGCAAACGTGGTTCGCGGCGTACATCAATCAGACCGAAGAAACCTTAAAAGGTCTGGTGAAATGTAAGAAGAGTAGACGAGTGTGTAAGAAAATTGATGCGAGTGCAACAGATATGTCAGGAGCCTAGCGGGTGGAGGTTCACAGTCTCAGTCTATCCAAGTGGCAGACAGGTGTGGAAATTTAAATCACTGCTATGCATATATTGTGTATGCCGTATATTTTTCGTTCTGATTGTTAATTAATTGTAATACGGGGCGGTGTGGTTTAATGGCATTACGCAAATGGGACCTTCTGCGAATGTGACCTTTTGCGAATGTGACCTTTCGCGAATAGGATCTTTGGCGAATTTAACCTTTTGCGAATGGGACCTTTTGTGAATAAGCCCTTTTGAAAATGGACTTTTACGTATGGGACTTTTTGCGAATGGACCTTTTGAAAACAAGCCATTTCAAGTAAACGTTACATGCTTTTCACGCAAGTCAGAGTGATTTGTAAAATTGAGACATTGAGCGTCTGAGCTTATGGATTTATGTTAGAAAAAATCTTATGATTTTAATGCTATGAAATCGTAATTTCATATGAGGTAATAATGACATCTAAGAAGCAAAGGCAGCTATGTTGTGAGCGTCAGCGATATAGTGTCGAGAAGGGACTGAAATCGATAGGGGTTTGAAAATAATAAAAAACAAAATAGTCTTACGAACTAAAGTAGAGGCCAGAAAAGTAGATAGAAACGCTGGAAGACGAGAAAAAAGAATCGTTAGGTTAGACAATCTTCTTTTGGACACTAATTTATTTATTTTCTATTGATATAAGAATAGTTCAATCTGCGACCGAGCAACCCAAAGGATTTGCACTTTGGGCACTGGACGAGGAGGTCTCTGGTTCGATTCCCGAGAAGACCAACTTGGAAAATGAACTTTTATAAACAGGTTTTGGTCTGGATGTTCTCGGCATTCCCCATGGCACTAGCCATGGCGTGAATTTGGTTCCTCTGATACTCATATTTCAGGGTATTCTCTAGTTTGAGACCAGGAAGCTGGAGTGGTGTGTCCATATATTTTTCTTAAAGCTGGTGCTATTGTTTCTATTTTTGAGTTGGCTTAAAAAACATGAAAGAAATAAAGGTTTGACATAGAAGAATAAGAATACTTATAGATAAATTCATTAAGAAAAGAGTCGGGAGTGTATTACAGCCTGAAAAATTAATTGACTACGAGAATGTACCTTTCTATACATGACTGACAGTAGTTTTTTAAATTAAAAAATATGATAACATCGTTCCTCTCTTGACTATCTAGAATTAGACATTTTTTTCAAGGCTCATCAATATAAGCGTATCAATATACGCGTGATCAATATAAGCGTATCAATATACGCTTGATCGGACAAAATCGAGTAAATGTGTAGGCACCTTTACATAGTTGTAAGAAAAATGTCATACACGGCAGTTAGTGAAGACAGGAACGGCGTAAGGTTCAAAATTAAGATACAAAATTAGGTGAAACTATTGAACGGTAAATTCAGTAGAGGAAACCCAAACAACTTAATATGGGGACCATTTTGAATAAATGATAATTTTTAGTACACCATAATTGAAACTTTTTTATACGAAAAAATCGACCTCAAAAGTTCGTGGAATTACGTCTATTTGCTACGTTTTATTGAAATATCCCCGAGTTCGCCACTATGCAGGACTTGACACTGGAGATAATAAAAATCGGTTCTCACTACTCAAAGTATATTGAGAGAAAAACGCCTTGAATTGGAGAAATAGCAAAATCAACTATTAAAGTAATTGCTACTAAATTAAAGTTAGGCGCTATTTATAAAAATGAATCTTCATGCGCGAACAGCCACCCTTAGAGGTGGATGATTTTATTCAAAATGAAATGGGACCACTATGGAAGTATCCCCTTTCCAACAAAAAAAGAATCATGAAAATCGGTTCACAAATACCGGAGTTATCGGGTAACATACATAAAAATAAAGAACATACAGTCGAATTGAGAACCTCCTCCTTTTTGAAGAATTGAAAACTTTTGCTTTTTCGAAGTCGGTTAAAATTATCGTTATAGTTTTTATTCTTAATAAAATAGACATATGCTTGCTATTTTAGACACCTGATGGTTTTTATACGTTTGTCTATGACACTAGGAAAGTGATCGACACCCATACCCAGCAGTCGGACACTGGGTATACTAGTACAGATTTTACTCTCTCGCAATGGTCTCACTGTCACATTGCAAGTTGTTTTTTTATTGTGATAACAAATGACGGGACGTACAAGTCGTGCGCCTGGTAGTAAGCGACACGTCTGATCATAGCGGTTGCAGTGCCACTCAGAGCTTTATATCGCAAAGATTTGAGGGGCATTGCCACTGCGCCTGTCACCCTGACTCTGAAAGAAAGCTGAGCTGCACCCTTATCTTTTAAAACCGAGTAATGCCCACATTACTGCTTGGCGGCAGAAAAGGTAAGGTGACAGTACTTCTCAGAACGAACTCTTCCACAAGGATCTTTATTGCACACAGATTAGTATCCCATTTCTTTGCCGTACGCATTAGGAGGTCGATTTCAAAATTTTCCCGGTTCATTTAGCTTAGGTCGAGCGGCAGGGTCTCTGGTTTTATTTCAGAAAAAATTTTTTTACAAACAAAATTACGGGTTTTTCTATTTAGTTCAGTTGATAAAAAGAAAATCATTGGTATATTAAAGAACTATTGAAGCGGTTTTCTTATAAAATTTCGAGGTAAGTTTGTGTTTTTTTCTATCGTGAAAATTTTTACGAATCGTGTTTTTTTCACTCCTTTCAATTAGTGTATATCGTCAAATGTACTGTATATTTTTTCCAGATTGATTGGTTCAACTCTTCCACTTTTATGCGGAACAACCAAAGTAATTTGAGGTTGTATAGACTCTTAAGGGGAAGCAAAGCGCTTCGTGTGAATGGGTGGTATGTTAACGACGTAAGGTCCCCAGAGTAACGTTGTTTGGTTTCACAAAACCACTTTGAAAATAATTCCAGTTCCACCATTGACTTACAAATAAATGGACGACGGGTCTAATACAAAAAACCACGAAAAAAATGTCCCAAGTCAACCTATTTAAACGTAGTGACATGTAAAGGAATATGAAAAAGCTAAAACGTTGAATTTAAATTGTAATGTCATCGCAGTACTGTCTAATTTTGCTTGCTTCGTTGTCAGTCGAACAAACGAAGACTAAAGCGTGAATGACGCTCTGTATACGATTGTAACGCCCTATAAGTTCGGACACTTTTTAGCGCGGACCCGACGTCCATATGTAAGTCAATGAGTTCCACAAATATTTTTATAATAAATGACATATCGAGCGACATATAGCTTGACAAACATGCCATGAGCGTAAATGTTTTGCTCAGAAAGCATATTTCGTGCCGCTGACAGCCGCCATCTTGAATTTCTCATGCTCTGTGTCATTAGCCCCACTTACCAATTTCGTAGAATCCTTTTAGAAAAGACATAACACGATTTATTTAGTTTTTTGTGTGAGTAATTAAAATATATGAAATAAAATTCAACGTTAAATAAAATTTATTCAGGACAAACAAAATATTCACAAATTAAAAAAGTACACGATTTTGTTTAAACAAACTTCTGTATAACGATTACAAGTAAATTGTTTTAGTTAATTTAACATTTTCCTCGTGATTTTTTTCCATGACAACACTGAGGACGCTACAGGGCATGGTTCTTTTAGGTTGACTAGAAACAAATATACAGACATACACGTTTACCTAACATTGTTGCATAATAAACTACCTACCGAAAGTTCTGCCCTCCTTGTTATAACTGCATTAATTTGTATTTCGTTAACTTTCAAAATATTGGCACTTTTCAAAATATATTTTTTTCTAGTAAAAATGTCAAATACGCTAATTTAGCTTAGTAATAAAACTGAAACCAAATAAAAAAAAAACCGATTAGAAGGAAATGTAAAACTCGTTTTGCTGGTCCCAGATATCGCTTTGTTAATACAACAGCGTATTAACTCAAAGTCTATTGTTTCAGAATTTATGAAAAACGAATGTTACTCAATTCTCGACAAAAAATATTAAAATTTATGTACAGGTTCAAGTTCATTACAGACATCTAAGCAATTTCTTATTTGCCGAATGTATTTAGGAATAGAAGGAAAGAAAAATCAACAGTCAAAATCATATTTTTGACTGTTTTGATTTTTTGTTTTGTTTTATTTACAAATAAAAAGTTTACAAAAAAGAAACACAAAACTCCTGTTCTGTTTGTTATAATTGTTAATACAAAGATCGAACACTCAGAAAAATTCCTTCGATCCGGCCGGATTCGAACCCGCGTCTTCTAGCAAACCGTGCCTAACGCTATGCCAACTAAGCAACGGAACGAACCAGCGGACCTTACGAATTTTTCTATGTGCTTATTTTTTGTCGGATCTTTGTATTTGTTTTTAAACGACTTTTGAGCCGTAGCGCCATCAATGAGAAATCTATGAAAGTATTTCGCCACCCAGTTAGGTAACTTTAAAGCTACCAGCCCTGGCTAAAGATGGCCCTGGCTTCTGTTCTGTGTATCTTTTCATTCACATAAAGTTTGTCACATTTAGAGTTAAGTAGATATATTTTAATTATTTTTTACAATATTCTGTCGAACCAAAGTTTACGTTCGGCAATGGCATAATCTTGAATTTCACGCATTTTGAGTTATTACACTATTGTAATAGCAGTGCGATATGTTGATAACTCATTTTTGCTAAAAATATTGATTACGTGAGTTATGATAAGAAGGGCGGACTAACGGGCTGTTTTTTTTATACAAGACAATACACTGACTTCAATGCATGACGGTATTGGGTACTTCCCCCTGAAGGGCGATTGATTTCCAACATTTCGTCATGTGTACCATACGCAGCGTCAATAGTATGGATTTAATGTGTACTTTCTATTGTTTTATTTACTATTCTAAGTACACCTACAGTTAATTGACACAATAGATTTTTGTTACATATGTTTTATTTCAATGTATCTAAGGTGCACTTTCGCGAATTGCAGTTTCAATTAAAAGTGGAGCCTAAACGAAGTACAACGAAGTTGATTTTATAGTCAAAATAAAAGTATTTGGAATGAATAACCACGAAAGTCTTAAAATCTATATTTGGAATCAAATGATTATTTTAATAGTTTAAATAAGTTTGATGTAGGTTGTCTGTCTTTGCTCAATTGTTTTTTAAAAACATGACGACGCAGACGCCATTTTAAGGTAAGCTATGGTTAGTATTTGCTTCCAATCACAGAATTAGAATTACGTACCACTGACAGGACTCAGAAGGACCGTATTAATAAATACAATCTCAAGTGCAAGATCGATATTAAGATCTCAAGTTAACTGTACTTATTAATCATTGAGTATATAACCAGAAATAAATATATAATGTCGTTTAATTTGTTTGAAAACTATTCTGCCAAATCATTACGGTCATCACAACTGCGCTCCGATTGGCCGCTTCAAATCGACCAATAACTTGACCTTTGCTATAATGGACGTAATTGAAAAATTTTATATTTAATATTGAACTATCGATGAAATGTGATTCTGTTTGTTTTGTAATTAGATGTTTTGCTGTTTTTCCCACACCACCGAATGGAACAGCACACACTATTGTTAGAGATATTATCTTTATTACAATACAATAAATACATAATATTTTTGGAATATACGAGACGTACATACAGGTCAGTTGTTGGCGCTGTACTATATCAGCTTTCTAATTTGTGATTTCAGCGCAAACGAGATATTTAAAAGTGATATAAGGCCCATTTGCCTGATAAGTTATGATTGAGGGACGGATGGCCCTTATTTCGTCTCTATTTCTGGTTATATACTCGATGTTATTAACAGCACTTAGTGCTTATCAACGATGAATAATTAATTATGGATCAATTGAGAGTTTGTTAATACGGACTTAATTTTTGAGCATTAAAACACTTTAAGCATTCATAGCCAAGCGGGTAACACTTTCACTTACATAGATAGAAAATATTATTATAGTTATTTAGCTTACCTATGGGCAGAGAGGAAGCAGAGTTGGGAACTGAGGAGGCACCCCCGCCTGGTGAGGGGGGTGCAGTTAAAGTTGACAGAGCCTGTAGAAAATAACATTAAATATAACCCGATGCTTACTACACAGAGACATCAATAGTAGTATGTTGACTGTACTGAGTACTTGGCTAATGTTAACTCAGAGTGAAATAATCATTTATTCTACATATATGTAAACTTTTATATCCCCAATCCAACTCCAAATTCTTTCACAATTCTTTTACCGTAAGTGCAGCTCGTATGTGGAATAAACTACCTGCTAACATTCGTGATAGTCCATCGGTGGCATCTTTCAAACACAAATTAAAAGAGCACTTCCTGTCGAACGCGTTAGATAGTTTATAGGTAACATATTTGTAAACAAATGATCTGTTATTATAATATATATTCTGCTTATGTATGTATTTATGTATATAAAGTTCAGGTATGTGCATATGTCTGTCGTATGTATATTATTATCATTTATATTTTATTCACATTTAAATTTAAATTTTGTTGTACATTAATTAGTCCCGCAGACTTCATTTTTGCACCACGGCTAGGGTTGGCTGGAAGAGATCTCTTATAGAGATAAGCTCACCTTTGTAAATGTCCATTGTAACGTGTGTTTCATGTGTCTTTTCTTTGTACAATAAAGAATATTATAAAATTTTTATATTCACTTGAAAACGAAATGTTTTAAGCTACTGCTCGTTCACTACGCTGACCTCCCTGAGAAGAACGAGCAAGAAACTCTAGGGATTGCTTCTTTCAAATAAACTTAAATGCTACGGAATACACTTTGAATCATAATTGTGTGGAATCTACACTCTTGTAATCTTTCCATACTTCTTTATCTAACACATACTCTTGAATTTCGAAATATGACTTTTCAGTTAAAATATTTTTAATGTAAGTTTTAAACTTAGGAAATGATAATCTTAATATATGCTCCAAGAAAAGTAAAATTAATAGGACATTACTAAAATATTTCTTTCGTTATAACTAATGCAAAAATTACTTTTGTACAAACTATAGCCTCATCAAGTTCGTTCTATATCCGCTGGATGACGGTAGTAGTATTTTGAAACGCGCAAGCAGCTTGTATTTTGTACTCATAGGGACGTTTCTGTCTATATTATTTTGCCTCAGATGCGGCAATAAATATGTGTTCTATTTTTCCAAGAAATCGTATAGATATAGACAACTTACCATGTGCGAGCTGGACGCGTCGATGTGTTGAGGTGGAGCGAGCTCTACTGAGGCGCATTTGCTGTTAGACTTCTTCTTGCGGAGTCCGAATTTGCGTCTATCTTTTTTGACGTTTGGTGACGCACCTTCCAGGGATACCTTGAAAGTTTTGTTGTTTATTAAAAATTTGTTTATTTAACAGTTAGAAATAACATGGCGTCACTATATAAAATGAGAAATCGTCGTGGTTCAGCGGTCATATATTCAGGTTACTTCTTGACAAGTTCTGAATTCAATTTGTCTGAAAACACTCTTACTGTCATACTAAATAACGCATTTGTATTTTGATAACTTCGGTATAAATGCACCTGAAGATTTTTTTATTTGAAAAACGTCAGCTAGACTGATTTTGCTTGACTCAAACTATTATTACTACTCGATAACTTGACCCGCAGCTCAGTTGATAAGAGGAATACTACGGTACAATATGGTCGTGGGTTCAAGTAGCATCGGGTCGAAAAAGTTTTTCTGTGTGTTCGATCTTTAGAAATAAGTCTAATTTGCTTCCCCGCATGACGTACGGTGAATCGGTGAGTACCTTACGCCGATTGGCACTTTCACCACGATGGCGAGCATTATAGTGTATGCCATCGACACGCTAAGAAGATGAAGTTTAATTCACTAACTGCCTCCGTGGCCGAATGGTTACCATGCTGGACTACCACGCAGCCGAGAGACAGTCAATGAATCATTTATTCCTTGGGTAAAATAAATTTGCTCATTTACTACGCTGACTTTCCTGAGAAGAACGGGCAAAAAAAGTCTAGGGATTGCTCTTTTCAAATAAACTTAAATGCTATGGAATACACTTTGAATCAAATTTGTGTGGAATTTGGAGCCATGTCATCTTTCCGTACACCTTTATCTAACACGTAGTCTTTAATTTGGTATGTATGTATGTAAACACTTTATTGTACAACACAAACAAATTACAAATTAACAAAGAAATAGAACGTTATTGTACAAAGGCGAGCTTATTCCATAACGGGATTTCTTCCAGCTAACCTTTGAATAATTGAAAGGAAAGTTGGTTCCTGGGTCAGCAATAAAATGTAATAAATCATTAATATGAATGCTACACACTCAATAATTAAAGAATAAATTTATTATATCAAATGTACTCACGAATACATAATATTAAATAAATGATGATACACTAATGCATGTGCATACACTAATGTAAATAAATATTTTGTAAGCTCAAACATGAGAATTTCGTAATATGACTTTTCAATCAAAATATTTCTTATGTTTTAGTTTTTAAATTTAGGAAATGACAATCTTCACATATGCTCCAGAATCTTATTGTAAAAACGTATACAATTCCCCATAAAAGAGTCGTTTACCTTGGTTAAACGAACTCGTGGTACCATGAGTTTAGACTTAGCTCTTAGGTTAATATTATGGATATACTCTTTCTTATTGAAACTATGTATATATATCTTTTTTTATGGCCTACATTAATTTCTCCCGTGAGTTTGGGTGTAATTTGTGTCTCTTTAGTATGTGTCCATGACACCCACGATACCCGGTTTCCCTAGGTCGGAGCTATGAGTGTGTACGATATAATTATTATTACTAAAGGAATCTAGTAGCAGTAGAGCTCCTTGTCAAAGAGTTCGTCCAGGGAACTACTGCCACCTAACCTATTTCTACCGCCAAGCAGTAATATGAGCATTACTGCGTTCCGGCTTTGAAGGTTAAGGGTGCTGGTGAAATTACAGGTACATGGGATTTGTCAACTTATGGTTCAGGGTGACGGGCGCAGTGGCAGGCAGCTGTTATGGATAGGCGTGTAGCTTACCATCAGGCGGACGACTTGTTAGTCCCGTCAATTAATATTATAAAAAAAATCTTTAGAAAAAACAAAGGTCTAATAGACTCACATCAGTATCATGATGCGCCTGATGTTGTAGTTCCAATGCATCTAACAGCCTCTGCAGTTGCTGTACCGACAATTGGGCCTGCCCCAACTCGCGTGACGCGTTTTCTAGTGGACCACCCGATTCTGAAAGTTAAGTCCATTTTAATAATAATAACAACTGAAAATTTTCAAACTCCGATTCCGTTCGAAACGTTAATTCGTCTTTGTAACCGCTAGATGGCATAGTTAGTTTTTTAAACCGCGATATAATTACTTTCTTATATGATTGAGAAAAATATCATAGTCAAGTTAGTTCTTGTTTGTACAGGGTGGTACAGGTATATTAGTCAGTTGTTGTACTATTTCACCTATCTCATTTGTGATTTCAGTGCAAACGAGAGTTGATATTTAAAAGTGATATAAGGCCCATTTGCCTGATGAGATGACAGGCATTATCAATTCGTCTATTTAGAAAAGTTCTGTATAACAATTGACTATTGCATTCTTATTTTTAATCATTTCGGTTATATCCAATCTATGCGTACTAATTGAAGTTTAGGTAAATATATTAAACAGTCAATAGATATTTGTTTAATAGGTCGTTAACGCCTATACCTTCTTTAAAACCGAAAATCGAAATTCATGTTCCATTATAGTTAATTCCCACACACACAAACACACACACACACACAACAACAAAATACTTGCCCTCTAGTCTTGAATTTTATTTATATTTATAATTTTTTGATTTGTATAAACTAAATTTTGGATTAACTTTCTCTGATAGCAATCATTCGTGACGCAGTCAATGTTTTATTGATACTTTATCCGTAGGCGGAGGCCTGGACCTATAGCACAGGTTATCCTAGTTTAGGCTCCAGCCTTCACAGACAACAAATATTTTATTACTTAAGAATGTTTAATTACGGTTGAAATTGTGTGTGAAGGAAATAAATTTATTATTATTATTATTATTAAAAGGTATCTTATGTCCCATAGTGTCGTTGAAAGTTTTTGATCTGAAGGCTCGTAGTAATTAATCTATCTTAAATGCAGGATCGGTATAGAGTTTTCAGGTGTAGTCACAGCGTCGCAAACTAGAGAATCATAAAGGCCCTTAATATTGGAACGGTCATCTATCAAGCAAATTATGAAAAAATGCATTTGCAGATCTATAAGCCAAGACGGATCAAGCAATAATCAAATGAAGCCCGCGTGCGAGCAAAATGATAACTTTTGCTGTCAAGCGGATCTAGAGGTATTACGTGGCGTGTTATCCATGACACGTAAGTCGATTAATGTAAACACGCTTGATAGAAAAAGATATATTATTTTTTACATTAAGTCGCCATACTGAAAATCGTTTAATAAATTACTTTTATAATAAAATAAGTATCAGCGCCTTCTAGTTTTAATCGACTATACAACAATGCGCATATAAGTAGTTAAGGTTGATATTAATAGGTGGCAGTAAATAACGTATTTGACTTTTTTATCTAAAAACGTTGGATACGAATTTGAATTCGTTTTTCGATATCTCAACTGACACTAGAGGTAAAAGTCTGTGGTTGAGGAACGATCGTTACAACGTAGCTTGTACGGCACTCTTGACATCTTAAGAGTTGATACTACCTCAGCTCAAATTAAAATTTTTTCCCGTTCATTTTGCCTGGTTCGAGCGGCGGCAGGGACACTGGCTTTATTTCAGAATTAATTTCTTTACAAACGAAATATTAAAGTCATTCGAGAAATGTACATCGTATAGTATACGTATAATAATAAAATCTGCAGTGGGCGGTCCTTCCGAGGGAGTCCACCAACAGAGTGAGATGGCGAGATGTCGTGAGGCAAGC